AACAAACTATACATTTTAAATGATGGAATGTTTTCGTGTCATATACACTTTAAGATACATAGTTTTGGCTTTAACTCTAATAGTTGTGACTTCAATTTTTGGGTTCGTAACAATGCCTCCCGGAAAATCTTTAAAATTCCCACTTCTGGAAAGGCGTTAGCCCAGTTTACACAGTTAGTATCATACATTTTAGTGGTTTCAACCAAACCCTCCCCTCCCCTCTCCCCTTCATACCTTTGTTGATACTTCAGCCATCAAATTTCTTTTGTTAGGATCTGTAAATTCAACAGGCTGGTCCTCAAACTCAATTTTCGCCAAATGGGTTCCCTGTGTTAAAACAAGAAGCAGGATATACTCGACTAAGATGACTCAAAAAGGATCATTAAAAACTCAGATTCTGTTAGTGGAAACCAAAATTTTTTTTGGATTTTGCATCCAACGCGCCTCAAAAACCAGCCTATGGGCCTGGGTTGATTTAACTGGTGCCGTAGAGAGGTTTTGATATATGAGCGCATGCGTACGATAGTATAGGCGGTATTATCATATGACCGTGAATCTTAGAGCCTGGACACTAGCAAATCGAGCAATCTGATTGGATAGATCGCATCGCGGACTGGTCAAGATTCTCCGGTATTAACCGGTCCGATCGCATATTAATCTTACGGCGAAAACATTTTGTCCTTTTCAATGAAAAGTGGTCATATAATAAAACTCTTATCAACCGAGCCTGGTCGGTCTGTACGGGATAATCTTGACCTCGGTCTGTACATTCCGACCTCGGTCAAGATTATCCCGTACAGACCCTCGCTCGGTTAATAAGATCTAAGTATTGACTTACAGCACGTACACGGTACAACATGCCGTAAGAGCGGTTTCGTTAAGAGTGGAAAACAACGGTACTGGCTTACAGCACGTACACGCTACGACATGCCGCAGAGCGGTTTTAGTTGGTACTACTCTTCCCAGTAGACCGAGGTAGTTGTGATTTTTTAATCGCCTTCGTAGCGTCTGTTATGATATCCGCAAGTACATTTCAAATCCCCCACGTGATGCCAATGTTGTAACACGAAGACAAGTTTTTACACCACGTGATTAAAACTTGACTGAATTTTGATTACGTAGTGTAAAAAACTTGTCCACGTGGTACAACTTACATTGGCATCACGTGGTCGATTTGAAATGTACTTGCGGATAACATAACAGACGCTACGAAGGCGATTAAAAAATCACAACTACCTCGGTCTACTGGGAAGAGTAGTAAGAGTAGGAAACATACGGTACTGACCTACAGCACGTACACGGTACGACATGCCGCAGAGCGGTTTTGGTAAGAGTGGAAAACAACGGTACTGACCTACAGCACGTACACGCTGCGGCATGACAATGAAATACCTCCCAATTGTCTTCCAGCAGAGCAGTTTTCGTATGACAGTGAAAAGTTCACAGCACGAACACGGTCGTGACACAGCAAGCGATACGCCAGACCAATCACATTACTCTGTATCCAATCAAATACTCGGAACACGGCATAAACACTGCGCGGACACGGACACGCCAAGGTCACGGCACTGTCAGACCAAACACATTGTGCGAGAAAAAATTCAGCCAATTAGAATTCTAGAAACCATCACGGTCACTGCACGGCACGGCACGATTACGGCACTGAGCTTTTCACAGTCATGCGAAAACTGCTCTAATTCATCCAATCACAATATGTAGTTAGGGATACGATAAGATACGGTACGATTACAGTACGACTACGAATTTGCCTTCGGTATCGTAGTATCCCACTCATATGCTCGATCAAATATCTTGCTTTCTTATACTGACCTTTTCTCTCACTATCTTTGTTAATCTTCTTGTATCAATGCCGTATAGCGCTGGTACCTGTTGAAATACCAATGAAAGCAGCATATAATTCCTTAATCATTGTGTATGTTGCATGTTTGCAAAGAGCAGGCGTAGCTCAGTTGGTGAGTGCGCAGTTTGGAGCTGGCGGTCCACGGTTCAATCCCGGTTCAATTCCTCTCGTCTGTTTCGACTCCTTTCTATTCTTTGTAGCTGTAGCTTTAAATACCCTTATAAGTAACATTGATAGTTTGAGGGGATAAAGGGTGCAACTTCGAATACGTCTAACACGAGTCTCTGGCTCGGAAGAATTGGGCGACCACGCCCTCCAATCTCGAAGTAAAATAAAATACCTTATTCTCGTTTTAAAAAGATTCACATTACATGCTTGATAAATCATTTAAATCATTCAGCTTAATAACCTCAATTCTGATTTGGCGGGTAAAGCCACCCTTTTCCTAGATTAGCCACGTGACAATGCACAGTCATTCATGTGCAAATAAACGATGTTAGACGACAAACCTGGTCCTCTTTGAGCCATTGCGAGAGAGATTTTACAGCATTCCAATGGCTGTATCCATGAGTATAATCCTGTACTATAAGACCAGCAACCTAAAAAATGTCAGAATTTTTTTTACAAAGTTTGATACTTAAAAAGCTTATGAGCCAAAGGTTGAATGATTTAATTAGCAATGCACTGAAACACATAGATAGATAGGCAGAAAGACCAGAGTTAACTCTATACAGATAGACAGATATAACCCGGACAGACAGACAGACAGAAAGATAGACAGGCAGGTAGATAGACATATATAGAGTAGCTTAAAAGGAGGGTATCTGAGGTCGTACACCGAATCCCCCCTTCCCCTTCCCTCAGTGAGCGGATGATTTGTAAATATTTCAAATACCTGAATATTCGAAGACTCGACATTTTTTAATAAACCATACACATCCAGCTCAGTGGTATTAGGTACTCCATAATTCCCAATAATAGGGTATGTCAGCATTAGAATCTGACCCTTGTAGCTTGGGTCTGTAAGTGCTTCAGGGTAGCTATGAAAATGAAATCACAATATTTGTATTATAATATTTTTTTGAGTCATTATTTCTCCCTCGTCTATGGTCTATATGGTTTCTATACGGCCTTTTATAATGCCCCACTTCTATCTCTAGATAATGACAGCTAATTCTCAGGCGTGTGAGAGCGTTTCTATGCTTGATGTTAGGAATGCGGAAGAGATATGTTTCAGGGGAATAAGTACATTTAAAGATGAGATATGTCCAGAGTTTTTTTTTTTTTTTTGACCGTTTTTCTTTTCATCATCAGACACCTCCCTGAGCCATGTCTGGAACTCAATATCTTTTAACCTTTGTTTTACAGTCTTGCAGTATTCTAATTTTGTCTGGACTTGGGTTCCTGACCCAGTCCCCAACGTATTTATCCAGACCTCACCGAGGCCCACTTTGTATATCGTATCTTTAATTTTCTTTAACCAGACTGTCTTATTTTCGTTTTCTAAGCAATCTAAGAATAGATCATGAGAGAGGAAGCCACTTCTGGGTTCTCTCAGATTGTTTAGAAAATTGAATGTCCTACATTTGGCATCGATAGATAGAGGATATCTTCGCAGCTCGGCCCTATACATGCATTATTTGATGCATTCTTACCAACTCCGAGGACTAATTTACAAACTTTTACATGGAATGCTTCAATTGGACCTCGCTCTTTCTTTAATACTTCTACCCCCAAACTTCACTCCCATACAGTAATATGGGGATCACCCATGATTAAAAAAGGCCAAATCTCCAATAATAATAATAACAATAATAATAATAACAATAATAGTAGTAATAATAATAATGAGGATGAGGATGAGGATGATGATATATGCCAAAAAAGGCCAAACAAAAAAATGGGGGAAAACAAAACAGACAATATATCATTCTACTTACCCAACTAACCCAGTATTAAAGACAAGTTCTCCAGTAGAAGAAGTGCTGTGACCAAATGAAAAACCTGAAAGATTCGTTCCATCCTCTAGTACAAGTGAGGCCCTGAGGGTCTAAAAAACCAACAAATACAGATACAATATATAACCTCTTATCTTCCCCCCCTCACCCTCCTAGCAGACTATTTTCGCGTTGATCGGTTCAATGACTTCACAAGCCGTCGACAAGCCGTACATGTGAACCTACTGGCTCTACGTGGGCAAAATCGAAGCAACATCATTTCATTTTTAGATTTCTTATATTTTTTTGGAAGGCATGTATTTGACAGCTGAACAGCTGGGTTGAAAAAAGAGTTTTTGAAATAATCAATAAAAAGGCTATTTAATTTATTTCTAGGGTTTATTTTCAAGGTCATTAAGGACTTTACGTTTGTTATGCAAATAATAAACCGGCACTTAATAACGCATATAAAGCAAAACAAACCAAATTATCATAACCTCTGTTTGCTGAAAGGTATTTGAACAAGGAATTTACAGTTCTTTAAACATCAATAAGTAAAGTAAACAGCATAAGCTTTAGATGTGTTTAAAAATACCTTTCTCGGCTCGATACTGTGAGCAGAATCCCTTGGTGTTGTGTGGAAGAAAGCCAAACACGGCCTTTTGTAAACGAGGAGGTCGTTTTGGCGTAACGTACGAACAATTGATCGGCCGAGAAAACCAGAGGCTTTCAAAAGCTGTGCCATTTTTGATCGCTTTGATAGTTTTTGAGGACCAAAATCTAAATAATTCTCATTTGTTTTACTATTTGTACAATAGTGTTGATTAAATGATTAGCAAAGTCCGATATACTACGTGACACGTCAATTAAAGACAGCAAAATTTTCTTTACAAAAAAGACCAAAAAAGACAAAAACAAAAATGAACTTAACTCTACGGTATTAAAAGCAGCCTCTCACACTTTTTTTTGGCTGGAAAGAATAAAGGCTTAAACCCAAGAGTTTCGCTCTTTGTAAGGCGGAAGTAGTTTTCTCATCTTTCGCCAAGACCTTAGGCTAACTATTTCATCATCCAAAACATTGCTGGATCAAAAAGGGAAAAGCCACGTGACGTTATATTCAAATTTTATAGTTTTGTTTAGGTTTGGTAGGATGGCTCATTGCTCCATGAGGAGGGGGTACTGGTGGGAAGCTTTAATTAACAGAAATGAAAAAAAATACAGGACAAAATTAAAAACAGCTCCTTCTTTACAGTAATTGTTTTAGTATAACTGAAGGGAACTAAAGATCAAGGTTTATTGGATCAAAGAAGTTGACTATTTTTCTATTTTTCAATGTCCTTACTACCCCTCCCCCCTTAGGATACATAAAGCATAAAGTGTTGAGTTTACTCCATTGATTGATATTTTGTGTCTTGTGGAGAGGCACTTAACTTATATTCAGACCGAAATATTTTCAGTTTTTTAGTGAACAGAAACATGATAAGGTTATCTACAATGATAAATACATTCTTACTGTGATCTCCGAACAGTTTTATCACAATCGTTCGTGACATGTTTGTACATTTGGGGCAGGTCGTTGAATGAAGAACAAGTGAAGAAAAGGTTTATCAATCACGTCCAAAAGACAAGCAAAAAATGCATTCTTGCCGACCAGCACGACTTAATAACAGTGGTGAACGTATAAAGGTACTAGTGAATAACGCAAAGCGTTTGGTTTGTAATGATTCAAGCATAGGTAAGACATCTAAAGGGGACGGTATTCCTGCTGGTAGCACACAAATACGACAGTCTTCTTGTACAACACAATCGCGTGGCTTCTTCACAAACCAACCTTCAAGAGATTTAAAACGATTTCTCGAAGAGGTAAGTTTATTATTTAAGCAAATTTGAAGGAAAAGGTTTCACTTTAAAAGTTCTCTTATAGGAGTTTAGCAGTAAAACTTCAGTTCTATAGCACAACAGCAAGTCCAAAGTCCACGATGCCAAGGTTATTTGATTTTTGGCCCACAATAAAAGAAAGCATTGATCAAAGTTTGATGTGATCATTGAAATCCCTTTATGAGGGACTATTCATTATTTATTGGGGCTTGAAATTTTAGTGACCTTTTTAAGGGGGGTTAGAAATAATTGATGAGACTTATATAGGAGAGACTTTAAAATGTCGGAAATAAACAGGGATTTCCGTAAAGAATTGGGCATACCAATAGAGGGTTGTAGAAATAATAATAATAATAAATATTTATAAAGCGCCTATCTAATCTGTTCTAGGCGCTTTAAACAAAAAGAAAAACCACAAACTGTGGTAGGCTGTGAGCTTTGCTTTGAAAATAAGGCATTTTTGATATTTTCTCACCCCCCCCCCCCCCCCCCCCCCTTTTTTTTTTTTGCTAAAAAGGGTTCATTGACAACATGGCAGAACCGGGATTTTGCAAAATTTGGGCTGGAAAATGGTATTAGGATCCCCCTTCAGAATCCTCAAAGAAGGATGGAGATATGATACATAATGGCTAATTAGAGAAGATTAAATGAGCTGAGTGGTCATAAACAAGAGGTCATGTAACCCAATTAACTCCTCTTCAGCAAAACAGTTGTGTCAAAATGACCCCTAGAAATGGAAAGAGTACCTCGATCAATGTCATTTGCCCCTCCAATAATGTAAATCACAGTTCCTACATCTTAATAGGTTGGAACTGATCCTAAAGAAGCTCGCTTTTGGCTCAGGCATTTTCAAGAGTTGGAGATGACACCTGATGAACCTTTTGCTGTGGTGGAGGTAGCACCAGCTGTTTTTGATGATCAAAATATGGTAATTGATTGGAACCAGTCATTATTTACAAGGAAGGGGATAAAGGATAGGGGCTGACACACAAACATCATAGCAAGCAGTGTAAATGCAGAGCAAAAAAGGGTGCCAACATTTTTTGTGTAAGCTATGTCGGGCAATAAGGCTTAGAGTGCATGGGACTGGAGAGGGGGTGAGCAAAAATTAGTAACTCAAACATTTTGCATAAAACAATAGGCAGAGTTATCAACATTTCAGAACCACATTACTGCTATTTTAATCCCTTTTTTGAATAACAAAGGGAAGTTAGCATCAAATTGGATTGGATTCAGATTCATTTAGATTCAGATCCAAGGAGGTCTAACAGGTCGTGGGTTTGTGCCAGTAGATAGGGTATGGGTTTTGGGCTTGCTGTCTTACATAGGGTATACATTTTACCAGAAATTGTCTTAAACAGGATCTATAACTTTTACAAAGGCAGCACTTCCTCCTCAGTTATTTTAAGACCCTGAGTGTTGGTCCAGCTATGACTAGAAGTACGACCTCCCGCATGAAATCTGATGCTTTGATGGTAACTTACTTCTCTCTTATTAACATGTCTCTTATAATATTGTTCAGCTTGAAAGACTTGTCTCTTGTCTGGCATTTTTACATCGTAATGGAATGGATTCAGTCCTGGTTCATGGTATTGCGCAATCTGCAGGAGAGACAAAAGTTGGCATCTTAGACAAGCAAAAACAACAAAAACTGATAGATGACAATATCAAACTTGTAGACATGTTGGAAAGTAATGGAGTCAAAGCACGACCTTTTTTATGCTCAAGTCATATGATTTCAGCTAAACTCTCTAGTAATGTGTAAGTAAATGAATATGATTTATTTTTTGTATCGCTTTACACATGCCACTGTGAAGATTGGTTAAGAACTGTGCTGTACAACTGAACGGAGCATGGCACTGACACCATCAGTGCCTTATCAGCCTGATTTGCAAAATGCAAAAATTAAACAGCTTTTTTCCGACAATAACTCCATGTTTCAGTAAGACGTACAGCACTTGGGAAACACTGATAGGATAATTCTCAAAAAATGTGGCCAACCTCCCCTATGATTCATTCTTTCAGCTTTTTTCACTTTTAAAATGATGTATAGGTGTCTTATTTCTTAAATAAAACCTGATGGCGCAAGTCTCAATCACAGTAATAACTAGAAATGAGACAGTGTATCTTTTGATTTCAGGAATGAAGTGGGGATAATTGAGGACGTTGATACCAAACATCTGAGGTGGTGTCTAAGGTATTTGGATTTGTTTATATGTAACAATCAGACTATTTTGGAGTTGTGTCTCCCTTCCCTCAACATCACAGTCCCCTCTGCCTCCCCTCCTCATACACTCCCTCACCACTGGGAAATTCCAGTTTCTGCCTCTGGAATAAAAGTATGATGCTTTCACCCCTCTATAGGTAACCATTAGGGACCTTAAGGTGTGGGGCAGCAATGATAATGACATTGATCAATATTCTATTGACAATTGTTGGAATGTACAAAACATGGTTCATTTCAGTCTTATGCTGAAAGTAAGACATGAAAAATTAATGCCCTTGTTTTACTTTAGTAAAGAGAACAGCTACTCCAAAAGTTTATATTTGCTGATTTTTGTTTTAAGAAAAGCACTACCAAAAGACATCATTTCATTTCAGTGCAATAGAATGTTGAAGGGCCCCAATTTCGCCAATGTTGTTGCTCGCATTGCAGTTCTGCAGCTTAAGGTTCCTATATATATATATTATATTATAATATATATAATATATTATCTAACGATATACTCACCCTGGTCTGGATTATTTTGGTACTCAGTTCTGGCCACATACCAGTACTAACAGCTGTAGGAGAAACTCAAGAAGGTCAAGTTGTTTACACTGACCCCACACATACGACTATCAAGATAGCCAGTATACTCAAACCTACTAAGGTCATATTTCTAAACACTAGTGGAGGACTTGTCAATGAAAATGGAGAGGTTTGTTGATTCATGCTTAATCTTTGAGTATTGTTTTTTAATTGTCATAACTTTATATAAGTTTAATTTATAATTCATAATTTGCTTGTGGACTAAGGAAACCGAGTGAGTGTCAAAGATAGTGACAAAGTGAATGAATGAATAAAAAAATAAATGACAGTAATTGAATGAATAGCAGTGAAATAATGAATGAATATGCACAACAATGAATAAATGAATGAAAGTGAATGAAAAAATGAATGCATGACAATGAATGAAGAATGAATGCATCATGAATAACAGTGAATTAATGAATAAATGTGCACGACAATGAATGAATGAATAAATGAATGCATGACAATGAATGAAGAATGAATGCATCATGAATAACAGTGAATTAATGAATAAATGTGCACGACAATGAATGAATGAAAAAATGAATGAATGAATGAATGAAAAAATGAATGCAAGACTTGAATGAAGAACTAATGCATTAATGAATGAATGACAGGGAACAAACAAACAAATGAACGAACAAACAAATGAACGAACAAACAAATGAACGAACAAACAAATGAACGAACAAACAAATGAATGATAAATGACGATTATTTTTTCTTCAATCCACACATAATAGGTGATAGACTGCATTAATGTCCCTGGAGGACTAAACCCTGTTCTACAGCAACCCTGGATGGACAAGTCCTCTTCGAATTTAGTAAGATTTTTAGACTGTAGTAAGCATCATAGCATGCATATCATTACACAATTATTACAAAGTCTTATCTATGTGTACATTTGTTTCATTTCAAAGATAATGGAGATATCACAGCTGCTCCTGAAGATGCCACGAGCTACCTCAGCAGTAATAACAAGTGCTGATAGCCTGATAAAAGAGCTTTTTACACACTGTGGTAAGTGTTGTAGGAAATCAAGGGTGGTGTAGCAACAGTCCACTTTTCAATGAGAAGCACATCTAAAAAGCAATTGAATTTGCTGGTAGGTGGGACAATCTTGCAAAACACCAAGACTTCAACTTATTAGAAAATGTAACCCCACCACTCTATGCTTTATATATTTTCTCTGTTTGCCCCCTCGACATCCCATAATTCACCCTTTTGGCACTAGCCGTCACGGGGTATAAATTGTTTTAGATTGTGTTACAGTCACCAAAAAGTTCGGACATTGTTCTCGATTTTCCGTACAAATGTACCGACTCTAAATGAACTATTTACTTGGTTGATGTTTAGTTAGTTCTCTAAATACAAGTAAATAATCATTTTCTAGCTTGATTGAAGCTTTTCTTACTGCTGTTAAGATAGCTAACTAAAGAAGTCTACCTAAATTTTCTCTTTAAAGTCAGTGAATTTGTATGGAAATCCGAGAACAATGTCCTAACTTTTTGGTGACCGTAACACAATCCAAGCTAGCGCCGAAAAGGTGAATTAAAGATGGCTGCCGTAAAAGGTAAAGAGTAAAGAGGTCTACTCACCATCCCCTCACCATTCCATTTCGTATTGAGTAAATTAGTTGCTTTATTGTGAATTGCGTTCATCCGGGCGAGTGCAGTCTTGAGAAAGACTGTTGTTGGTGGTGACTGACGTTTCTACAACCTGAGAGGAAGTCATCTTCAGAGTCCTGAGTGAGGAAACCAAAGACAGTCGATTATGGTATTTAGTGGTATTGATTAGCTGATTTGAATTCCTCTGTTTCCCTAGGGTCAGGTACATTGTTTCAAACCTCAGAACCAATCAACACCTACCATTCTCTAGAAGGGGTTGATGTGGACAAGTTGACACAACTCTTAGTAAGGTATGGACCAGAAAAAGCCTGCCATCCTACCCGGCAGGGAGGAGGTGGGGGGGGGGA